CATGAGAATAAGAATTTAGATAACATTTTTTTTTCTACTGTATTTCTAGTATCTCAAACAGTGCCTGTCACCTAGTGGACATATTACATTAATAAATCAATTATTAAGTTCTTTCTACAAATACATTATTCATACATAATGGAATTTACAAATTAGCTTTTAGTTACTTTTAGCATAGAAGTGGGGACAAAAATATGAGCATAACTAATGTAACTATGAAATTAAGTTTATTCTACACTAGTCTGAATTTTGAGTCCATAAAAATATTAAAACATAAATAAGTTAGTATAAGTAGCCAGGTCCTAGACCAAGGGCACAAGCTATAAAAACTTGGCTAATCTAGGCAGTAAGCAAAAAAGTTGTCTTTCCAGTCTAGCCAGGTGACTGCACTGGGCTTTCCTGTCTTCTGGCCCTCCTCTGGGTAAGGAGGAATTGAGACTGTCATGGGAGCTGTTTCCTCCTGTCCTATGCTGTGTGGGGGAGCAGAGCAGAGCAGAGGGATTATAGCAGTTTGGCTGATAGAGCCTGGCCCAGACTCCTGTTTTAACATATTTAAGAAGAAAATCAGAGGAGTGCTTTGTTCTGCAAAATTGGCTTTTCCTGATCACTCAGCCCTTTGCCCTTTGTGCTTTTTCTTATGGCAGGTGAATCTGATTGACACCTGTGGCCTGCCATTCCTTAAGGAATGGGTGAGTCTTTGTAAGTATTTAACTGCTCTAAGAAAGAATGAAACATCATTTGAAGCATCAAAAGAAATAAAACTGTGGCTTTGTTACTTTGAAAGCATTTTTCTTTTTGTGATTGCCACTGAGGGGGAAAATGACAAATAACAAAAAAGAAATTGTTTGAATAAAATTGTTTGAATCTAATGGTACCCATCTGAAAATCCTTAAATAACAAAGGCTTTATTACAAGAAAAAAAATGTATCACTGGTAAGGACTATTCAAAGTAATACAGGTAGCAAGTGGCTATTTCTGTTCCATTATTTATCCATTAATAATAATGAATACTTCCCTGTGTGTGCTGAGTTGTGTTCTTAAAAACATTATTTAGCAACAGAGAACCCACAGGGAAGAATGTGAACTGTTACATCATATGTGTCTTTTCTGAAAGCACAAAAGAAATTCAGATTCACAGAAGAGGTGATATCAGCACGTCAGCAGGCCGAGTGAAGACTGGTGATGAACTTCACCCCAGGCTGCCCTGGCTGCTGTGAAGTGATTGTGCATCTCTGGGAGATGAGGTCTAAGGTTGCAGCTTTGCCAGCTAGCCACTCTGTACCCAAGTAGCTTTCTTATCAGATTGCCATCTCCTTAACTGCTTCATGGCAGGTGGTCCCCAAGTGTCACACATCTGCTGAGTGGTGCTCTCTCCTTACACTCCCCTTGCTCCCATCTGCCCAGACAGGTGTTTGCAAACACGACCCTGAGGATGTGAGTATGAAGGATGTTCCAGGAAGTACCTTTGCCCCCAGAATGGATTAGAACATAGGTTCCAACTGAAAATACCACATTGCTTTTTTTTTTTTTTGACAGACGCAGAATTTGAGCTTCTGATAATTACTATTTCACCAAACCAATTGAGACTCAGGACTGCAATTAAAAAGAAATGATCTTCCATGTATAATGGCTTTCACACTGCATGATACTATTAAATAACCATCATTAGCTACTAAAGCATGTGCTGCTCCTTTCCCAGATCCCTTCTCTGCCAAAAAAATTTAAGACCAAGAATGATCAATGAATGAATCATCAGATTTTAATTGTCAATATAGGACATACAAATAAAAAAAAATCAGAGTGATTTAGACATATGAGGAATTGTTAACAATGGTGATATAAACCAGACATTGATGTTCTTCTAAAGACCCACACTTACTTATCTACAATTTATGGGCCAGAACATAAAGGGGAAGTATCTTTAAAATAAAGAACAAGGAGGTTTGGGGTAATTTCCTTAGCATTGTCATGGGAACAGAAAGCTCAATAAAACAGTTTCTCTTTTCACAAAGCTTCTATAGAAAGGACACAGAAAAATAGACAACCCCAGAGTATGGTGTGATGGATTTAATAATCAAATGTACAAGACCCACATGGGATTTTAGCTTTCAGGGGAAAGTTTTAATGACAGAAGGAAAAGAACCTACTTGAGAGCCTACAACTTCCTCCTTGGGCCTTTTCATTCTTATCCTCCTAGAAAACATTCTTTTATTTTCTCTGCAGATGTTTGTAGCATGAAAGAGGCACAGGAAAAAATTATCACCAAAAACATGAGAGCTTGAAGATGGATTGCTTTTCAAGGCCTTACACACATGAGTTAAAATATTAGACAGGAAGGCTCTAGGGTTCTGACTTCACATCACATTGCTTTGTCCAGAAGTGCCATTTATTTTATCTGCTTGTGGGGTAGAGGAAGTCACAAATACAATGATAAAACATACATGACCGAAGAGATTTTATAAAACAGCATTGCTTATATCCAGCCTAAACATTCTTTTTGTTGAAGTAAAATTTAAATAGAATTCATAATTTTGTCATTTAGAAGGGTTTGGTAGGAGGTACTCTGATATTGAGCTATCACCACTGTTAAATTCTAACATACTTTCTTTGTCCCCAAAGAAATTTTATTCCTACCAAGTACTCCCCTTCCTCAATTTCCTCTTCTTCCAGCCACTATCATTAATCTACTTCCTGTCCCTATATGTTTGCCTATTCTAGACTAGTCATATAAAATCAACCAAGTAATTATTGCCTTTTGAGTTTGGCATTTTTATTTTAAAAATATCTTCAGAGTTCATCAATATTGTAGCATATTTTCAGAACTTCATTCCTTTTAAAGAATCTGTAATAGTCTTCTAATTAATGTACCATATTTTTGTCGACACATTAATCAGTTGGTAGAAATTTGGGTTGTTTCTTTTCTTATTTATCTCCCTCCCAATACTTGGTTTTAATTTTGAGCAGTAAAGGACAGAGGTGGAAAAACTGGGTCATAATGTTTTTGAAAGATCATCAAAATTGTTTGTAAAGATGCCTCATGATTTTATTTCTATGAACACATATGAGGGATCAAAATTTTCAACCTCCTTGATTACATTTATTTTTTTCTTTAAAAATTATAGCTATCCTATTGTCAAGCTCTGTTATGAATAAATAGTGCATCATCAAAACCTCTTTGCAATCAGAGATATACTTGTCTGCTTTTCCTCATTTGTATGTGAAGTCATAACTGAATGAGGTTTCTTTTTCTAAGATGAGTTGCAAAGTGAATTTAATGAAATTCTGACAACAAAGCTGCCTTTTATAAACTCCCACCCCTGCCCTAGCCACCATGATCAAAGCCAATGCCTCTAAATGATCACCTTTGAAAAACCGTCCCAGAAATAAAGCCAGGTGCCTCAGTCAGTGGTTGGCAAAGGCACCGAAACCACATCCAGGGTTGGCAAGGAAAATACTCCTCTTGGACAAATCTCAGCTTTGTTTTTATAAACCCAATGACCATTCCCCAACCCCCTTCTATATATACTGTATTACTTATTTATTTATTTTTAGAAACATAACTATGCCCGGATTCACATTCCACTTCAGGTAAGCCGGTTTGTTTGGGTAAAGCAATGTATTGGACAGGCCCAGTCCTACCAAATTTCGAACTCCACTCTTCCCATTTTCTCCTGAATAATGCAGTGTCTGTTGCACACACTCCTGGGGAGTTTGTGGTCACTGGTTTTCATCTGACTGCCGTCATGGACAGTACATGTGGTTTGCTCCCTTCTGGCAGCACTTAGTTTGGGAAACAGAAACACCTACGTGTAAGTAATTGGTGAGAACCAGCAACAAGCCACTAAGTGTAAATGTTTTACTTTTAATGCGATGTCCAGTTTTTCATCCTGTACTGTCTGGGAGAAACAGCTTCTGTGAGCTTAGTTCCAAATTTGCCTCCTCTTGGTGGGGATGTGAGAGGGAGCCTGAGGAAGATCAGCAAGCAGCAAGGTTCCTGAATGAGCCCTGGACTGCAGCAGGCCAGTCTTCTGGGTGCTTGGCACGCTTCAGTCAAAGACTTGAAGGGATTTCATGGAAGGAAGCTGCATCCATGAAAAGGAGTATGGGTTGGATCTTTTGACACAGAGCGACTGCAAGGCCAAAAAGACCCTAGCTCCAGAACCTTGGGAAATTCCAGGGTCCCTTAAAAATCAACACCCATTCTTTCTCAAGCAGAAGTCTGCAGTTCCCAGATGAAGTCGGTGAGCTCTGGGGCTGCCTGCGGGCTTTGGTACCCCTGTCATAATGATTTTAGCACTTGGACCAGAGAAGGGTCATGCCCCAAGGCTCTAGCATCCCTTAATATTCCACAGGAGAAAGCCTGAATGCCTTGCCACTGATCTCAGGCTTGATGACAGTCTCATCATTTGCGCAGCCAGCCACGCGTGGATTTAGAACTGGCATGCTGCCTGTTCAGGCCTTGGCGCTCTCCAGCTCCATCCCCCGCCCCGCCAACTCTCCAGGGTCCAAAGTACAGCCGGGAGCGCGGGCGCAGATGTTCCAAGCCCTGCAGCTTAATCTTTCCCTAGTGAACACCTACATGGATTTCCAATACCGCGCCTGGCAGGTTTCGGGTAGGGGGAGTGCCAGCCTCCCCCTGAGCTCTCTGTCCCGCGTCGCGTCCTGGTTTCTGCAGTCGATATTCCTGGAGGGAAGCGGAAGAGGCTCGGGGCTCTACAAGCTTTGTTAGAGAGTCGCAATGCAATGATTCACTCAGTTCCCCCTGAACACTCCCTGCCTCAGAGTGGAGGAAGACGGATGTTTTAACTCAGCATCCTCCCAATACACCCCTGTGGTCCTTCGTGCTCATAATGCCTTTGGCTTAGGTCTGGTTTCCACCACTCAGTGTTGGTGTGGGCACTTGTGCAGCGGCCAGCCCCAAAGGGAGTTGAACCTCGCAGGAAACGTCAGAGCGCCGCCAGACCTCACAAGCACTTTGCAGGGGCCATCTGGAGATCTCGACTTGGGGATCCGAAGGCCTGAAACCTCCAAGCGCAGGTTTGAAGAACTGGGCAAACAGGAAATAAGGTGGGTGTTTAGGGTCCCGGAGAGCTTCTGGGGACAGGAAGGGGTCTCCAACATCACCAGAAGGGAGCATCAAGGGAAGAAAATGAAGACAGACTCCAGACATTTATGTCTGGCTTTGCTTAAGTCTTTACTTACAGTAGGAGTGGGGTGGAATGGGTCAGAGTCTGCGTTCTCGGCTGGCACCTACCCTTTAGGAAGGTATGGAAACTCCTCAGGTCCGTCCTAGGAATGCCTGAAGATGCTGTGAAAGAAATCTGAAGCGGTCTTTGAGTTGAGCCTAGAGGGGACTGGGAAGAGGTGGGGGAAAGGTGAGAGACGGGAATAAACCACCTATGTGCCCCCCCCCCTCTTTTTTTCGTAGCTGCTGACGCGATGGTGCTGCTTATTAATCATTCACCAGTCCAGAGCTGATCTACTTAATGACTGTGCCGCTCTGGGCTCTAGCCTCTTGGTCTCTCCTCTCTGCGCTCCAGCGTGCTCAGGACCCTCAGAGCGGCCAGAGGCAGTGCTCAAGCAGCCGCAGGGCGATGTGCCGGGCAGCCTCGGTGGCTGCCGCGCTCGCCGCAGCTGCTGCGCGCTGCCGGGAGGTGCCAGGCGGCGGAGAGCTGTGAGCTTGGAGCCTTGAGCCTAGGGAGGGTGCAGACAGCTAGCGCGCAAGGTGAGCGCCCCAGCCGGCAGCGGCGCAGGCCCCCTTCGCTGGGATGTTCCCCAATGGCACCGCCTCCTCTCCGTCCGCTTCTCCTAGCCCCAGTCCAGGCAGCTGCGGGGAAGGCGCCTGCAGCAGGGGCCCGGGGGCAGGCGCCGCGGACGGCATGGAGGAGCCTGGACGAAACGCTTCCCAGAACGGGACCTTAAGCGAGGGCCAGGGTAGCGCCATTCTCATCTCTTTCATCTACTCCGTGGTATGCTTGGTGGGACTGTGTGGGAACTCCATGGTCATCTACGTGATCCTGCGCTACGCCAAGATGAAGACAGCAACCAACATCTACATTCTAAACCTGGCCATCGCTGATGAGCTGCTCATGCTCAGCGTGCCCTTTCTGGTTACTTCCACGTTGTTGCGCCACTGGCCCTTCGGCGCGCTCCTTTGCCGCCTGGTGCTCAGCGTGGACGCGGTCAACATGTTCACCAGCATTTACTGTCTGACTGTGCTTAGCGTGGACCGCTACGTGGCTGTGGTGCACCCTATCAAGGCAGCGCGCTACCGTCGGCCCACTGTGGCCAAGGTGGTGAACCTGGGTGTTTGGGTGCTGTCGCTCCTGGTTATCTTGCCCATCGTGGTCTTCTCACGCACCGCGGCCAACAGCGATGGCACGGTGGCCTGCAACATGCTCATGCCCGAGCCCGCCCAGCGCTGGCTGGTGGGCTTCGTCTTATACACATTTCTCATGGGCTTCCTGCTGCCCGTCGGGGCCATCTGCCTGTGTTATGTGCTCATCATCGCCAAGATGCGCATGGTGGCCCTCAAGGCCGGCTGGCAGCAGCGCAAGCGCTCAGAGCGCAAGATCACTCTGATGGTGATGATGGTGGTGATGGTGTTTGTCATCTGCTGGATGCCTTTCTACGTGGTACAGCTGGTCAATGTGTTCGCGGAGCAAGACGACGCCACTGTGAGCCAGCTGTCTGTCATCCTCGGATATGCCAATAGCTGTGCCAACCCCATCCTCTACGGCTTCCTGTCGGACAACTTCAAGCGCTCCTTCCAGCGCATCCTGTGCCTCAGCTGGATGGACAACGCCACGGAGGAGCCAGTCGACTACTATGCCACGGCCCTGAAAAGTCGCGCCTACAGCGTGGAGGACTTCCAGCCCGAGAATCTGGAGTCTGGTGGCGTTTTCCGTAATGGCACCTGCGCTTCCAGGATCAGCACGCTTTGAGGCTGGCACTGCCTGGAGAGGGAGAGTGGTCAGAAACCGGGAGGGCGGAAGCGAGTGTGAGCGAATGATAACAGGGCACCAGGTGCGCTGGCAGTAGCGAGTAGCAGCGATGCTCGGTGCCTGGTTAGCCAGGCCCAGGAAAGCCAGGGGACTAAGGTAAAAGGGAGAGTTGCGGATATACTGGGAAGGCTTAAGGGCCATCCATCCTCTCAGCCAGCCCTCTTTCCTACACAGCGCTTGCTATTCTGAACAACTCTATTCTCCGAACCCGGTAACTTCGACCCCCCCACCCCCGTTCTGCTAGTACAAACCACAATCGTAACCGTTGCCAACTCAGTCTAACCCTTACCCTCTCAAGCCGATATTTGCGTTTCTTTAAGCTGAGCCACTGTTACTGCCTCGTGTTTCATTTGGGCTGAGTCCCCCACGTTGCGCTCACCCCTGGCCAGACTCTTCTTAGAGTGGCTATCAGACTGTCCCCAGTCACCGCTCTCCTTTTGCACAGCCTTACTTTCGAGGAAGCCCAGCTTGAGGAGGACCGGGCAACTGGTCTTTTCTACTCTCAGAGAAGGCACTTCTTTCGCTGGGCCCTTCCTCCTCCCCACCCTATCCAGAGCAGAGCTAGGTGCTTAAGAAAAGGTCCTGCGCCCAGACCTCCCCCTTCCCGCCAAGTGGTATAGTCGCACCCACATCCTCCTTTGAAGCAAAAAGAAAAAGGAGCTGAGAGCAAGCAGAAGCAGAAGGACAAGTTTTTAAGAGTCCTGGGTTGTGGATGTGGGTACCATAGCAGCCACTTCCCCATAGGGATCGGGACCTGAGTACTGGGTTCCAAAGTTCCAGCGAGGGGCGCTCCTGGCTGGAGAATGACTTAGGCACCCTGGCGGGAGGACCCGAATTGCAGCTGCAATTCCTTTTAGATTCCTCCTTAGAATAACAAAAGATTCAGTTTCCTGCTTTAGTGTAAGTTGCAAGTCCAGCTCAGGCTGCTGTCACAAACTGCCAAGCCTTTAGCCAAAGCTGGACCGGTTATTGTAGCCTGTCTGGTCCCTGAAGTTTCTGCCTTTCAAGAGGTGCCTAATAAGTCATTTCCTGATTTATTTATTTATTTGTGGTGTTGGTAAAACTGAGTTTCTGCTTTCTTTTTTTCTACTTGCCTAACAGGGCTGTTCTTGGAAACCCTGAGGGCTTGGGGGGTGTGGACCGAGCAGGAGTGGAGAAAAGTTCCCTCCTCACCCCAAGACTCCCTCAGAAGTTTCCCTCTCTTGGATTCTATTAGCCTTTTCTCAATCCTTCTTGGTTTTGCTTGTGTCCAGTAAAGTTTGGAGATTTTTTTATACATTTTTATTGTAGTTTCTGTGTTATTAAAATAAATAAATCGCAATTTGGGTTAACTCCTGTCAGTACAGAGTGAAAGTCCTGAATTCCTGGCATCCCAGGAAACATAGGGGAAAAATCACACTGTCCATGATGTTTGTGTGTCTATGATATGTGCTGCTATGCACAAGTCACACGCACACACACACACACACACACACACACAGAAGACAGAGACATAAAGACAGAGACAGAGAGACAGAGAGAGAGAGAGAGAGAGAGAGAGAGAGAGATTTGTAAATCTTGAGGAACTGTCACAAGTCCATGAAACAATTACAAGGACAGACACAAAGTGACAGGTGTGACTCAAGCTGGGACATTTTCAGTTTCGGGTACAAGTAGCATTCAAACTTGGATCTGAGAAATGTCAGCCAGAGACTTGAATCACTGCTGAAGATATTGCTGCTTTTTTTTTTTTTTAGGTCCCAGCAAAGGTGATTCTTTACCTATACCCAGTAAACATAGTAATTTCTGTTAAGGAATGGAAGGGAAATAATTCTGTCTGCATTTACAAACTACAATAGAACTCTGAGCAGGGCAAGGACCAATGATTTCACTGGTTTATGTTTCCTGTATTCTTTGTTATGCTGGTCTGTACATAGGAGGCACTGAAAAGATATCTTGGTGGTTAAGTAGTCCTGTGTATATCACAGGTCCTGGAATAAAGAACCTGGGAATCTCACGTTCCTACTGTCATGACATACAATGGTTGAATGCACTATTGAAAAAGACGTTTTATGCACATTTGCTTCAAGAACACCATGCTTTTCTAAAAGCAGTAACCAAGAGTTAAAGTGTCTCTTGTGTTTTGTTCCAAAAAATGAACAAATATGCTTTTGATCATAAGCCAGAAAGTTTAGATCTTTTCCTAAGAATATAATACATATGCATACATATATATAATTACTCTTCTGTTAAATAGATTTTTTCAATCATTAGGAACAGTGAACTTTACAAACTGAAATCTCCATCAATATCATCTCAACGGGGTACAAATGTAGTGCTCTTAACTTGTAATAGTAACCGAATAAACAGATGTATTATGCTGTTGCAACTTGTCTGGCTTCCATTTGAATCTTACACTATCAAAAGGTTATTTGAACATAGGTACAATTGACACACTTGTCTTTAATTTCAGACTAACTTTAAAAATTTCCAAGATTGGATTTATCTTTTGAATTATTTTCTTTAAAATAAGAGTCCTGGTGTGTGTGTGTGTGTGTGTGTGTGTGTGTGTGCGCGCGCGCGCGCGGAGTGTGCTAGACAGGGAGGAGAGAAGTGTAAGGAGGAGGCTGAGGGGGGAGGAGGAGGAGGGACAGAAGAAAGAAGCAGTAACAAAGCTGAGTGAGTGTGAACAGGAGGCAATGGCCTGGGCTACCCTCTATTGTTGCCACACTAACCAGACAATGCCACAGTTTTTCACAGATTGAATTACTGCCTGACTTCATTTGTGACCTCAGATTTTGTTGTGGAGTTAAGTAACTACTGCTGATTTACATCAAAGAAATGATGATGGGGAGAGAGCAGGATCCCTTAAAGTGTTGAAAGGGTAGTAAAGAAAAGAAATAGCAAAACCAGGTTTTAAGGAGGATACTTTTTATGTCTTACTCAGTTTTGGCCATTCCAATGCTGAAGGCTGTAACAAGGCTTGGAGAGGATTCTTTCTTTCTTCCTTCCTTCCTTCCTTTCTTTCTTTCTTTCTTTCTTTCTTTCTTTCTTTCTTTCTTTCTTTCTTTCTAGCAGGCTCTATATTTTTATAGCAGCTTTACTTTCACAGCAAAACGAATGATAGCATTCCTCAAACATTTGAGAAAAATAATTCTACCATGATAGTAGTTGAAGACTTCAAACATCCTGTAACCCCGGCTTCACATGGTTGTATAAGTTACCTCAAAATAACTAAGGTCAGTGGCACTTTTATATTTTCCTTATTTCTCAAAGTCATAGCAAGGTAGAAAATGAGAAGTTAAGTTTACCAATATTGTTTTCTTAGTGCTGGGGCCTTGTGCCTGGCCACACCACACATAATTTATTTGGGTTTTAACTACTCTATGCATTATTTCAAAACCCTTCAAACTAGTTAGCTGGGAGAAAAGAGACAATTGAGCCTTTCACCTTCTGCCTTGGGTCATTTTTTTCATGTGGATGGGATACTTCCTGGCTGCACTTTGGTGACATTTGCAGCCTGAGATCGTACGTCTCATCTGGAGCAGTGTCTCTGGTTCCTGTGGGCTCAGTTCCTGGAGTCCCACACTGGCTCTCACACTGATCAGCAGTCCAGTGGACACTGCAGCTTTTGCAGTATCTGATACCCTGCCATTGCAGCCTGTGGGTCAGTGGTTAGTGAGGACCCAGGGTAGCTGCTACTGGGTGGCCTCCAGGATTACATTGGTCTGTTCTTGTCTCCCTCTGCCAATGGCTGTCTCAGATATTTTGAATTTAGTGTTGCTTCGGCCAACCTCACTTGTTAAAACAGTTCATACCCTCTATGTCTACTTTATACTGGAGGGAAACCATAGAAGTGGAGTCCTGTATTAGCCCTGGGTTGCATACAGCAGGAAAGTGTTAAGCCAATTTCCACTCCTACTTCAATCATACTTACATGATATTCCTAATAGTTTTTTTTTTTTTTTTTGACTAGAAACCCTTCTGCTTTCCTCAAAGAGAGTTACTGAAAAATCCTTAAGTGATGGGGCTCCCCCTTCAGAGAGAGACATTGAAATGACTGATGACAAACAGGAAATTAAAACATGTCATTTTAATGTCTGTAACTGATTATCTCACTCTCAAGTGACCCCTGACTTCCAAAAGTGGTGCTGTCTTCTCATACATCAACCATGAAAAATGCTTGCATTAAAAAGCTTTGATACCCAATTCATTTTTATCACAACCATTGTACCATATGTTAAATACATAGTTTATGTATGAGGAAAAAAATGGATCTCTTAGCAAACAGATACATTATTTTAAATTACAAATATATTTCTAACCTACTGTTTTAAGTAAGTAATAAAGATACTAAGGGAACCGTCCATGAAAGCTTTGTTGGCGGCATGTTATGTTTCATAAACTAGCTCAGTCCCTTCTTTGTTCCAAGGTAGTACATCAGAGAGACGAGCAACTTCAGTGAGGCTGTAGACAGATGCTCAGCGTTTGGTATGCCAGCGCTGAGTCCCCACAGCACAGGACACTGCTTTCTCACAGCACTGGGCCTCGGAGCTAATGACTGTCTCTTCCACATCCACAGATGGATACCTCGCTTCTCATCCAACAGATTTAAGCTTTAAAATGATGACAAAAGGTTCAACACTGTGACATGGTTTCCCTAGAGGAAAACAAGTGTAGAGATAAAGTCACGAATGATAATTTATTATTTTATGACCTACCTGGAGACTGCATACAGGTGAACACGTGATAAAGGACTACGTTACTGGTAGCTTCTGATTACAGCTATAAAGAAAAATAAAGATATCTCTACAGTGATGACAAGGTAGAGGAGCCCTGTGAACTGAAGCAGATAGTTCAAACTCAAACAGCAAAAAGCCTGCTTGTCAAACTGCTACCAGGGAGAGGGAAGCATTGTCTGAAAAGGAGATATGATTTTAGGTCAGAGTCCTCTGTTAAATGGTCACTTTTAAAATAAAGTGAATTACTGTCAAATAGTATATAAAACTCAGTCTTAGCTCAAAGCTGGAAATTTTATATCCATGTAGGAGTGAAACCTCAGGATGGTGCCAATATTCTTGCTGAGTAATGATAAACGTATTACTTTAAAAATAAATCTCTTCAACCCAGATCAATCCACATCAATTCCAAGTGGACACAGTATAAAGAGAAAGGACAAGTTGCAAATACTATCCACTTATCAGTATTACCTCTGTAGAAATGTGGTTACAGGACTGGAACTCTTACAGAGAAAGGCCCAGGTCCTCCCAAAGTTAAGATTTAAGAAAGAAAGACTATGTATTAGATTCCACTGGGAGGCCACAGGTTTTGCAGAAAAATAAATATAATTTTGTTTGACTTTTGCAAAAATAATATATATTTCCAAAGACAATTTCTAATTCATTTAATTGGAGGAGGAGGGGGCAATCCAAGACATGATGGGTAAATAGAATCCTATTGTAAACTAGCTATCACTTGTGGCTCACAGGGGTGTTCATGAAAAGGATGAATAATAATTTAAGCAGCATTCTTCATGTTTCTATAATGCTTGAACAATCCACCAGCTAGCTCATATTATTAGCAGTTCCAATGCATCTAAGGTCAATAATTAAGTCAAACATTCTCCTCTATGTCTAATGAGCCACTGTTTACTATCAAACACAGTATATATGCCTTTTCCAACAGATTCTCAAATTGCCTTGCATATGTTATTGTCCCTGAAACTTAAATTATGTGTTCAAGCATGCATGGGTGTGTAAGGGGATAAACAGCCACACAGGTACACACACAAATACATATACACAAACATGTTCATTAAAAGAGTAACATCATAACGAATTGTTGGTAAAGTAGCATGTCAAAGTTTGTCTTTTCTCTTTTCCCTTCAAAATTGCTCCATTTCTATATCCTCTCTTCTTGCTCAGGACTGTTCTAATCATTCCTAGTCCTCCGCACTTTACAGTTTACACAACTGACATGGTTTAAATGCTAGCCTTTCTGAAGCAAGACTTCTTTATTTTTAACTAATGAATTTATTTATTCAGTCTATATCCCAATTGAAGCCGGCTCCCTCCTCTCCTCCAGTTCTCACCTTCCTTTCCTCTTCTCCATGTATTCCCTCCTCTCACTCTCAGAAAAGGAGAGCTCCCCTCCCCCTTCCCAGCCCCTCAAGTCATCTTAGGACTGGACTGAGGTTTCCTCTACCATAGTGGCCTGGAAAGGCACCCCTGCCAGGGGGAAGTGATCAAAAAGCATGCAAGGGAGATAGCCCTTTATTCCCCTTACTAGGGGACCCACCAGAAGACCAAGCTGTCCATCTGGTACACATATGTAAGGGGCCATAAGTCCAGTCTATACATGTTTCTTGGTTGGTGCTGAAGCAACACTTTTCAATACATACATTATACCAAAATGTTAGGCAGCAGTCACTCTGAAACCATAGCTTCTAATACAACTTTGTTTTAATAAATTATTTCTAATCCCCACATAGAAGGATCACTTGATAACTTTTATTAAGATATTGTCTATGCTCCATTACAGAAACGTTGGTTCATTAGACTCAGGGTGAATCTGGCTGTTCTCTAAAAGCACACTGCAGTGTGAGAACACGTGGCTGAGATGCTAAGAGCATGGAGCTTGCCATCAGCATGGGAGGCTCTGCTTTGTTGCCTAATATAGACAAGCTAATCTGCATGATGCTTATTACCCTCATCTATAAGGGCAAAATAATGACATTCTCTTCTGCAGGGCTGTTGTGATGAGACAATGCATGTCAAATGCCAAACCTGTTAAAGGTCTTTCAGTTGTTAATGAGTGAAAACTCAATTAGCGCACAAGAGTAAACATTCTGAGAAGATCTGGCCTCAGGATGACTTGATTCCCAATTCACTGAAATTTTTTCTGGTCTCCTCTTTAATCTCTGACTTCTGATATATTGATTCATTTTCAGACTCAGCATTCCTTTGTTCTTAAAGAGTGCATAGCACATTTCTCTTCCACATTCAAATGTAATTCTCTCTAGCTGTACTGACTGATTTCATTTTCCTTCAGACCCAGCTCTATGAGCCTCTTACCCTCTATTCGTTTTACTGAATGTGCTAAGAATATGAAGTTCTGGCTAAATGCTGCTATTTTCCTGGGTTCTTTCTCAAGGTTTTTTTTTTTTTTTTTTTTTTTTTTTTTTTTTTTTTTTTTTTTTTTTGTAGCAAACAAGCGCAAACAGTTATGTCTCCTTCAAGGACAAAGAGAAACCTTGACCACTCTTTGTCATAAAGAAGTGATGTCCTCAAAGTCAGTGTGATTCAGATGTAGCACAAACTCACTGGGACAAAGCAATTACCTAGGCTCATATGATCATCTGTTTGACACATGAGGCCAAAG